TGTCATACGATCGCAAATGACGCATGAAGGGAATGAAAAGCAATATATTAGAGCAGGAGGCCGAAGAAAGTACCAGGCTTTTCTGCTAAGGAGACTTCGGTGTTTATCAATGCAGCATCTATAATATAGGTCTGCCTTGCTACTCATACACTTGTTCAATCTCCTGCGTGAGTAGATAGCGCACAAGAGATGAAACAACAGCGGCTATCGGTTAACAAAGTACCATGACTTATGATGGTATCATAAGCCTGGTTCTTTTCTTCTTTCTAGGTCTGCGATCATCATTTCAAGTGACGGGGTGTCTTTCAGGCATTTTCTCCATTCAAGAATCGTCTCGTCTTCCTCCTTGTTTAAGAATGTAAGCAGAAGCTCAAAAAGGATCTCAAGTCGTTGCCTGGCACTCTCTACATGTTGTAGCGCCAATTTCCTGCGTTTATCTTTGTATGGCTCAAAGTCGCAAGCTAATTTCAATCTCACGCATGACTGGCAAATTGGTGCACCAGTACACTAATACCCATCAATAAGGTTCAAGAGTAAACAATGTTTGAGATGAACGAACCTTTCTCCGCTTTGCGCGACAAGCTCTGCATGCAACGCTCTGCCGTTTTCCTTTTGGCTTGCTATAGCTCGGTTCAGAGTGTAAGGCTTTCGCCGCCGGTCGCAAAGGTCGCAGGGTCACTTTTTCATTCATTTTCAGCGACGTTTTAGGGAGGTGAAACAATAACTCGGAGAAATGCACTGAAAGGGCGGTAGAAAAGATTTGGCTGAGAGTAACAGGTGTGTGTAGTGTCGCTATATGTGAAAAGGCTTTAGTGTGTCATAGAGCGAGAGGGGTAAAAAGACGTGTTTAATAATATATGACGGTCGCAGATGTTATTTGTATGCTGCCGCTGCCGCTGCCGCTGCAGACCTGCCGTAAACCCCTGCATGCCCAGCAGACGGACTATGGCGGGAAGATCTGCCGACCAATGACAGCAGGTTGGGATAATCCAAGGTTTGCAGCAAGGGTGTCAAGCAACATTCAAGGCGCCTGGTATATTTGAAGTTGCTTGGCTAGCCGCCTGGTCGACAAGACCCAGTTATTATCGGTCCTGTCAGATATTGCACCTGTCAGACTAGAGAAGTTCAGCTTCACACTAATAATGCCTTATAAGATAGAAACTGGCTGTCTGAGTTAAGGGCAAGTGTGAAAGCTAAGGGAGGTTAATACTTATTATGACTAGAAATATTTATATTATAGTTGTGTTACTACTACCGATCGAACTGCTAGTAGTGTCTTTTAGCCGAATAGAAAAATAATCAGAGTACAGCGGGCATCAAGCAAACCCTTCTGCAGCTCATTCAGTCACGGTCTCACTATACCTTACAGGGTACGCAGACCCACTTGGACTGTTCTCGCGAAGGCCTCAGCAGCGGGCCGTAGCAATCATGAGACGGACACTTGTACCGTCAACCGATTCATCATTGCTTTGTGGGCCCTGCCTCCAGATTATACGACAGAATTATTGGGTTTTATTGGGCAACAGGTGGGCACAGGCAGAACAAGAATGGTCTTTAGTGGCGTAGGTCTAGACCTCGTTCCTAGCCATACTACAAGCGGGCCGCGGCAGTGGAAGCGGCTACTTGTCTTTTCCTTCGTATGACTAAGGCAATCAGTGGACAGTACGCAGCCACCCTATTTTCTTAAGCTAATATGATATCCCCTTCTGTCAATCATAAGCTACAATCAGTCTTAAAATCGGCCTTACCTTGAACACTGGACGATTGTTTCCCAGCTTCGCTGCCAAGGGCTTAGCGCGAGCCGATCATATGAGTAGTTCCGATAAAATACGGTGTGTATTGGGCAGAATTACTGAAACGGTTTCTCTACTATCACGTGACTATTAACGCACTTGCCCGTTGTGCCAGAAAACGACCAACACATGGGACGAAGAGCAGTCACATGACTGAAAGTGCCAGGAAAGCTCGTGCGAGTCAAACACTTTCTCGCTCCATTTTCCAGAAGTATCGATGCTTTGCCACCACCTACCGAGAGAAGCGAAACGTAAAGAACTTAGTAATACTGCAGATAACTATATATAGCCCTGGTCCCCCTTACTCGAAAAGAGATTGGGAAGATAAGAGAGCTAAAATGCTAAATTACGTCTCTGAGAACACGATTACGGCAACTCTGCCGTTCATGCTACGAAGTGCGATAGTGCCTTTGGATATTACCCGAAATTTGAAACAAGCTTGGCTATACCATGTATCCCACAATCACGGTTACGGTTACTATTATGGACATTGACATCATCGAGAGGTCATAGTAAATCTATAGTTAGTATAAAGTATCATTCAGGGTCCAAACGACATCTACAATTAGCCTACCTTAACCCTGTGAAATTTTCACATCTTGACTAACAAGCATCCATCTCAAAGCCTACCATATAATCGTACTACTTACTACGCACAGTACAACACAACCATCAAAATGGCCTCCAACCCTAACCCCGGCAACTTCGGCAACCGTCCTCACGGAGAAGTCGAAAACATCGCCCGCAAGGGTGGCCAATCTAGCCACTCGGGCGGATTTGCCTCCATGGACGAGGACAAGCAGGTAGATTGATATCCTTCCCTTACTTCTACATGATAATGTCCTAATCAGAGTGAACAGCGCAACATTGCCTCCATGGGCGGCCAAGCCTCCAGTGGTAGCTTCCAGCCTGGCGAAGAACGGGCTCGGGAAGCCGGCCACAAGGGCGGAATGTCTTCGGGAGGGAGCTTCGAGCCTGGAGATAACCGGGCTAGGGAGGCTGGTCGAAAGGGAGGATCGAGGACTGGTGGTGATATGCCGGAGGAGTAATTCACAACAAAGTACTACTATTACATTATTATCTGCACTGTTGGGGGGAGAGTTTGTTATGTGATAGGGTCGAGTAGTATGATTAGTCAAGTATAGGGTCAATTGTATTTAGAATGGAAGCTATGACGTCAAGTATTGTTCCGATTGATACTAAGATTCTGCAGCATGGCACAAGTATAGGAAGTGTAATAATTGCAAGGCCAGTAATATTGTTTCCCCAATTGAGAAAGTGGTAACCCGTCGCGAGTGCCATTGGCCACTCAATCAGTTACTTTTGAGATCATGACGACAATCGGATACGGTTTGAGTCGATTCATCAACGATTTGATTAGAAACACGATGTGCTTAAATCACATGAATTGAAGTTAAACTTTTGCCCCCATCAAAAAGACACCCCTTGCAACATTAGACCCAGGAACATCGCTAAGTATGCTAGCTACCACCATTTTCAATCGTATCTATAATCTAGCTCAGACATAGTACTTTCACTGTCGTAGATATATGTACTCTGACAAAGTCCCCAAAAGAGAAAGGTACAGAGAGGTAAAATATAGAAGGGAAGAGAACAGATGCACTAGAAAGGGTAAGAAATAGGGACGTAGAGAAAGCAGAAGAAACAATGGAAATATCCACAGCACATTGTTTACAGACGTTTAAATCATCGCAGGCTATCATGTGCATACTATGGACAATCTCAAATCAAACCTTCACTCAATATCTTTTTGTCTTTCTGTTACTGAACTATCCGCGGCAGCCGGAAGCTGCACCAGATCCTCAAGATCCATTGTCATTTCCTGCTCGTGCTTGAAATTATTCATCGGGGGTAATGACTCTTTCTTTACCTCTGGACTCGGGGTTGTGGTGCCAGTCTTTTTAGAAAGCTGCTTTACCATCTTTGCCAAATGGCACTTAATCCTCGCATCTCCACAGTGGGAATGTCGCAGCAGCTCATTCTTGAGACTTAGAATTTCGCCCCGCAGGTGATCAACTTGGCTCTCTAAGAGCATTTTTTCCCGAGACACCGTCTCGCAGCGACACTCCAGCTGCTTGGCATGCTCCTTCTTCTTCTTGCGACATTTATTGGCAGCCACGCGGTTGCGCTCGAGGAAGCGCTCCCGTTTGCGTCGTTCGCTCTCGTTCATCCCAGACCCTGGAGAGGAAGGCCGATGGGAGCTCTCTTGACGACTGTATACTGGACTATCATTACTGCTGCTGTGGCTGGAAACACTGGACCGAGATTGGTTGCTGTCGGCGCTACCACCGCTGCTAACACTTGTGATGCTACCCCGCGAGGTAATTTCGTGGATGGGTGTTGGAGGCATCTGAGACGGTATGAATTGCTTAAACATAGTCTGCATTCGGGGGGATTTTTGCTCGTAAAAAATACTAGGATTGTGTACAGTCTGGCAGGGAGTGATGAAGCTAGCTTCCGAGCTAGCGGTGGAGTTTGTTTGAAGAGCCGCTCCAGTGGCCCAAGACACCGGCGGCGAGAAGGAATTGAGAAGCCATTGGTCATTATCTTCGAACAAAGGAAGAGAAAAACAGTCTTGGGGGATGGTGTTGTTCAGATAGAGAGAGCCCGGCCAAGTCTCGTTAGTGGTGGATGGTGGTCCGGAAAGGGGGCCGTAGAGGTTCAAGTCAGCGGACATTTTCACATCGGCCATTGATAAGGTTGATCAACAGTGCTTTCCACACGGCGCCACACAAGGAGAAAACGCGTACGGATGCGCAAGTCGGGCTGTAAGGGCAATATATCCGGCCGGGATGTAAGCGCAAACACTGGGGTGAACGTGATACGCCCCAAACTGGATTCCCTGGGGTATTAGAATGGGATGATTTGGTTGAGCTCAGACTCTGGGGCAACATGATAGCGTAGTATCAAGTTGTCCGGAAGAGATACCCGCGTATCAGTGGCGACCCTGAGCTGATGGTAACCCGCAAGAACAGTTCGAATTCAGTTTCAGTGTGGTTCGGGTGGAGCCCGCACTTGCAGCATGACGTTTCAAGTAGAATCTCTATGATTTGCACTCATATCCCGACCGCTATTTTGAAACCCGGAGCTTTCCAAAGGGACCTGTTTCTCCAACCCTGGCGGTCGGTCTGGCGATGGTTGGAGATTTTCGATTTCTGGTAACAGTTTGATCTCCAGACTTACTGAGTCCGTGCAGCCGGTGGTGCTGGAGCCCATTCTCCATGACTGATACTCTCATGACATCACCCTTCAACATCATCATTACCTCATCCTTATTCGCCCCCAGTCAAGCTGCTCTCCCAGTCCCTGTCTGAAAGTCAATTTGAACAGTCGTTCCACAACTTCCCTGAGCATCCAGTTGGGGGTTCTTTGGGGCTTCTGAGTGGCAGGGCTTTCTTGATGGAATATGGGACGAGAGAGCCGTGGGCCACGGGCGATCCCCGGTCTGTGCGATGAGCTGCCGTTGGGCTCTGGCCACTGAACACGCTCGCGACTTGTTGGGAATATCATTGTATGTAATATCTGCCAATAGTTATTACTACATTGTGCCGCATGAAATGGATCCGGTATCTTTTTGTCCCCCTTGTTCTCTCTATAGTCTATTCTTCGTATCATATCTGGCCCTTGCCATTAAAAGCTATCCGTGCAAGACTCAGAATACGTTATCAACAACATGCTTTCAAACCCCTTTCGCCGGTCGCGCTTGCTGAAACTATACCAAATAGAGGCCGAATCCGTTCAGATCAAATTCTGCTGATATACTAATCTAAATGCTGTTCTAATGCTTCCACCTCTCCCAAGCCTTCTAATCAAATAATATGACACCTGGTTTCTCCTCATATGCTGTATCTTTTATAGGCACCACAACAAGTTTCGCTGTATGAGCCATCGTTAGTAAATACTCCGGAGTAATCTCATCCCCACGTCTAATTGAACGGGTGGAATATCTTTGTCGAAATTAAGGAACTCACCGAAGTTCTCGGGCTGAAATGCAACGGGATAATTTAAATAAAGGGGCAATACCGGTTCACCTCCACGTCTTTATACTAATAGAGTAGATGAGCCTGTTTACTAAATTCGTTCGTAAATCTGGCCAGCCGGTTCCGGTTATAATATTCACGCAAGTCGCTGGGAAATATGAGCAGCCTCCATGCTTAATTACCGATCAACTTGCTAATCAGCTGTGTGCCGATCCCGTCGGCCTAACCCACGGCAGGATATGATGCCAGGAGCATACTAATCCTAATATTATTTGCCACCGATGTGTCTGCCTCTCCAGATATCAACTCATTTGGGCCATATGCCACGCCCACTCCCGTCATGAAGTCGATGTACTGGCCACGAACGCGCTTGACTCCTTCGGTGATGTTGGTGTCTTGTTCATATATTTGAATTAACTGGGTATTCAGCTTGAGCAGCTCCTCGCCCAACCGGTCGTCATTCCCTTTCATATATACCGAGTATCCTAGGGGACACTTCCCTTGCATTCACGAAGCAGGTCTTCCATGTTAGATTGTATGATATCCTGTCTTTATATTAAGAATAGCCTTCCACTCAATCCATTAGTGGATACAGGTTGGTGGGTCCTCATCGTACCCCTTTCCTTCAACCCAGAATCCGCACTGGAGGAGCGGGAGTTTATCTGTGCGGGCGGGACTCATTTGAGGAGCAGGATACTCAAAGAAAGACAGAGAATTGGCATTGATAAGGCTAAGCTTTGACAGCGAGGAGTGTGTACAACTAAAGTTTCCTAGGATGGGTGCATACCATGGCAAATCACCCCATCGCCATGACTAATATTAGTAAGTGCCATGATCAGTTTCAGGGCTTAGTAGGTTCGAGCTCGTCTCTTTCAGTGATCAAAAAAAGATCCTGTAGTTAGCAATATCTGGTCAAATCTCGCACATACGCTGCCTCAGCAGATGTTGCTCGCCGGCGAACAACAGTTAGCAGACAGCTGTGGGCGAAGATTTTGAATGACACAACTGCTTTATTTTGTTGAATTGGACAGTAAAGAATGTAATGTACATTTATCGACTCTACGAGTTATAACAAGGCAAAGAGATATATGTGGTTGCCAGAAAAAGGAAGTTGATGCCACATGGCCCGTCTGCGAGGGACCTGGAACAGAACTTTCCTGGCTCCCTGAGATCCGGAGCGGGGGCTCCATGTTCTTCCATGGATATCTCCCGCGGTTATGCAACACTGTTTGTCCTAGTCGATACATGTTACATAATAATCACGTGTTGATATCTCCGGTCACATTATCTCAGTATGACCAGAGATAAAACACATCCAGTGCGAGGCTAGGTTAAGCCATGGTCGTGCAGGTCAAGAGTGAAAGAGGCATTTATGCTCTTGCCCCTGCGCTATCGGACTGGCCGTACCTATGGTCATTGTAATTGCTAGCGGAGTGGCGGCGGAAAAAGGTATTATCTTCAAGTCTGCAGATGCTATTGAAGTTGCTCATAAAACATCGCACGTCGTGTTTGATTAGACTGGGACCTTGACCCGGGGAAGGCTATCTGTTGTCGCGAAGAACTGCGTTGACCAAGACAAGCTCCCGCTTCTTCTAGGCCTCATCGAAAACAGTCGACACCCAGTCTCGGTTTCTGTGGCTGCTTACCTCCAGGATACTGGGGTTATGGTCCTAACCGTTCCTGAGCCCAAGAGCTTTACTGGTAAAGGTGTCGAAACCACCGTGGGCGGCCGGAGACTCCAAGCAGGCAATTCTGGCTGGCTGGACTTATCGGAACATGAACTTGTCCAACCAATGCTTGCTCAAGGATACACTGTTTTCTGCTTTTCTATCGACAATGCCTTACATGCGGTCTTTGCTCTTGAGGATGAGCTCCAACCTGACGCTGCGGGGACGATCGAGACCTTGCAGAAGCGTGGTGTCTCGGTACACGTGGTTTCTGGGGACGATGACGGAGCTGTTCAGACATAGCGTCCAAGCTTAGCATTCCTGGCAATAATGTTCGTTCTCAAAGCTCGCCCGCCGACAAGAGGGATTATATCCAGATGCTCCTTGGTACAGGTGCGGACCGCAAGGAACCGGTTGTTGTTTTCTGCGGCGATGGCACCAACGACGCCGTTGCTCTCGCGCAGGCTACGATCGGCGTCCACATGAACGAAGGCACAGATGTCGCGCAATACGCCGCGGATGTGGTATCTCATGCGGCCTTCTCTGGCTGGCATCCCCACCATGATGGACTCCAGTCGGAAATCTGTCCACCGCATCAAGTTCAATTTCGCTTGGAGCTTCATGTATAACACCTTTGCAGTCCTTCTCGTTGCGGGTGCTTTTGTCAATGCGAGAATTTCTCCACAGTTTGCGGGACTAGGAGAATTGGTGAGTGTGTTACCAGTAATTGCCGCTGCGTTGCTTCTACGCTGGCCGAAGATCTAGGCACAGAGCAATCATTGTACGAGTGATACCGGCTGATTACACAAACTCTCCTCAACGTACGTAGTTCAGAACGTCGTTCTGAAGACGGGATGGGACAGCTCTTATTCATATTCAAGCTCGGCTCGCAGTCTCATTTTGCTGCAATTCCGTCGTTATCGAAAGTCGTTGACTTAGCATCAAGTGATGTAGAGTCAAATTCTAAGTCATTCATTGATGTGATTATTCGTTTAAACACGCAGCCCTGCAACGCTGTGCAAGTCGTTAGTCAACTATTGTACATTTGTTCAGTGGATTCAAGGGCCACGTGTTTGATCTCTTGTTTAGCAACTCTCACATAAAGAGATCCCGCCGTGAGGGGTTCCCAAACAACGATCAAAATGTGAGATATTTTCCATTTCTATATCAGGAACGAAGTGCTTCAACTGTATTAACAGTTATGCGAGGTAGATTTGAGTATATATCAAGATTCAAGAATGTGAGTAAACAAGCCTAGCAGAGAAGCAGTTCCACGACCTTCGGTAAGATTCTGTGTGCTTAAATTTTATGCAAGCTTACCTAAACATAAAGTTTTCAAATGATTACTAAAATATCAATGCTGAAACAAAGGCAGTAAATCCCTGCAAGGACACTATAAAAGCCATGCAAAGTCTAGTCTTGTACATACGAAGCGACGGATCCGTCCTTCTCGCACGAGATTCGGGTTACACCATACTTTCGGCGTTGCGTAATCTGGCTTCAGGTCATTTTACAGCGCACGTTATTAAATCAGCAGTCAGGTATTGTATCATTTCTTCTCGAAACGGAAGTCCTCAATGCCCTAAATCAAGGGTTTAGCGCGCCAAAACACGCTAGAGCTCAGGGAAGGCACTCTTTGTCTTTGGAAGGGAAGCAGAAGGCGCATTATTACCTGCTTCAGACCAGGAATCACCGGGGTAATGCTTCTTCAAGTCTGCATAGGTATCAGAAAGATACACATCTCCAGTATCATTCCGCACATCTGCGAATGCATAGAGGACATGAGTAAGCCTCTCAACGGGAAGGTCTTGCGGATCAAACTTGCGACCATAAATTCCCTAGGTGGATAGTTTGTCAGTTCCCTGCTATGCGTCCTTTGCATTATATCAAAGATATCTTACCCAGTTGACAGAGTAGGCAATGGATCTATAACTAGGGCTTGGGTCGGCTCCCGTGTCGTCTTTTTGGAGACGTGGAGCTACTCCCACCTACAGCATTTGAAAGACAAATACTCCTTAGAAAGAATAAGATCCCAGAAGAGAAGAGAGTAAAAGCTGAAACCGCCATGGATCATAAGGATTCCGTACACAATTTCCAGCCTTGGCTGCGAGTTTCCTCGGTTCTTTCCTCTGAAATCTCCCGAGATTCAGAAGTAATATTTATCTATTTCTAACCGACCGGCGAAGAGAAATGACGCATGGTTTGTGGCCTCGCTGCTCTATTCGCGAGAGAAGAGCACAAGTGGATGTTTTAGCCCCTCACATTGCTAACATCCAACCCAACACTTTTAGTCGGTCAGGACATTTCATCAGCTCTCATGATCCGGATTCATGACTTGAAAGAGTTTCGTTGTAGTTATTCGAGGGCTTGCCACCGAGAAAACACTGAACGTAGCAGCTGCTAGGAATAAGTGCAATAGAGTCCTTGGATTTATTTCTCTCAATGAAATCCCGCTTCCGGAAGAAAGTGGCCCAAGGGCATAGTTGCAGTGCCCCAGACAATGACTCCTTCGGAGCAAATGCCACACTTATATCAGGGTGTGGATGCAAGATATGAGAGACAATTCCTCGTGCTAGATTTCCACCGGCTGAGTCACCTGCAACCACAATATTGTTGACAGAATTACCTCCTATTTCTCTGAGGTAATGTAAAGCTTCCAGTCCTTCATACCGCTGGGATGGCTACTAGGCATGAGGTGCAAGTATAAGAAGGGACAAAGACAGCAAGATCTGGAGTTATTGATAAGAAATGTTAAATCGAAGCACCAATGGAGATTTATTACGCATTTTTTTTACCTTGAGTAAATTCGTAGGCCTGCAAAATATCTATGTCAGTATCAGAACCAATCAAAATCGGCCATAATAGTAGTGTGTGTAGAAGCTATGATGGCTCGAAATATATCGTCTAAAAAGGAGTCATGTAAACAGACCAACATGCCGAAGTGAGACGGGGCTGCTGACCGAAGAGACGGCTTATGCACATGTTTCGTAGTGACTCTCATCATATCCAATTAATTAAGTCGGTTTCTTTTCTTTGTATGGTAGAATGTAGCATAAAAGTCCCGAGCAGACGGCCAGATCTAGCAATATTGATGTCAAAGAAACTTGGTATAATTGACAGCACTTGGTCTATTTCGGCCAGTCATGTATCATTGTATATATACGATACAGACTCTACCTCCCATATTCCTTGACTCAACCACTCGGGCACCCAATATTAGACCGGTAGAAGGCGTGCGTAACAACACTGCCGAGGCCGGCAGTAAATCTATCTACCTTCTTCTCCCCATCAGGCACAATATTGACCTTGACACCACCATCAACACGTTGAACAGAAGCATCTCCTTGGATGTCCAGGTTCGCGGCGTGGTCAAAACAAAATCGGTATGTCTTTCCATTGAAGTCAAGGTTTGTGCAACCGCCGCCACATGCGATGTTGGAATAGGCATCCTTAACATCGTTTATGATGTCCGGATTGTTACTGTCATATGCAAAACCTATACACTGGAGTTCCGAAGCGCCACCTCCACGAATATAGCGAAATTGGATTCCGAAAGTGCATGCCAAAGCGGTCGGAGCTGTCGCGGCTAGAAGGGCGAGGCTCGGAAGATGCATCTTGTTGACTTCAGCTGTGCCTCGTGGATTTTTCAACCTATACGCTTTCTTATGTTAGCTTGAGAGATCCTCTACAACCTCTGTGAGCTCCAGTAATGTATGCTGAATAAAGATACGTAGAAAGGGGAAAAAAGTAGAAAGAGAGAGATCAAGACTTGCCTGTTGTTGACTTTCGTATTTCACCCACTTTTCTCGGCCTCGGTGTCTGAAGGATGGGGTTCCTTTGCTCCTTGAAGAACAAAATGAAGTAGGTTATTTTCCAATTTAACTCGTGGCTATCTTCATGGTTTATATACCTTCGGCCACCAGACTCAATGCACCTGAGACCCACGCTGAGTAAAGGGCTGCCTGAATAATTCGGCACAGGTAGTAGTTTCCTCATCTATCTCGCCAAGAATGGGGGCAGGAACTAGTATTTGTTTAGTGGGTTAGTATTCCAAGGTGTTCGGACTTCGCCTATATGCGCCCATGAACTGGGTTGAGCAGTGGCATAGCTGTAGTTTGTTTAGGACTAATGTTTGGTACTGGCAAGTGATAAGGATCTGGTATATAGCCGATGACCCATAATTACTGGCAGTGTTACACTCAATTGGCTTCTGGACTTCAGCAGCTGCAGGATAACTGACTATTACACCAAACATTTCCTCTCCAGTAGCTTTGGATATTCTTTGTAGTCGGTTGGGTAGCTCTGTGCCTGGACCCCACTACAACTGGATATTAATATCGAAAGTGGGTGTACCAATTAGTGAAATGAAATGTATCGTGTTTCGCCGACCAAATTGCACTCGTCAAGGAGACTCAGTATGCCTTAGACAGCTATGAAGCGCAAGCTCGTTAGGCAAAAGTTATCTTGCGAGCCAAGCTTGTTAGGAAAGCAAATAAGCTGGCACAGTAAAGCGTTGTCCGAAATAGACAACAGATTTGTTTAAGCTGCCAATTCTGCTATGTGGATGTTAACCTTGCGAATATATCCATCACATGGCGACCGCTCAATGCATTAGCCATGAGTATAATAATTGGCGGTCCGGCCATACACAACAGACGTGCTCAAGAAAGTATGTGATGCTTTTCGGACATTATGGTATTGTCAAACGGACCCCACAGCTAGCCTGAAGGTGCTAGAGGCGGCCCAAGCCGCTGCTGCTAGGCGATATCAGGTAATTATTAATTGTGTGCCCAAATGAATGAGTTTTTTGTATGAGATAATTCTTTCCCTGCTCCCCCTGCGGCTAATTCAACAAATATTTCTCAGTATTTGATGCCCTGCCTACCTGAACTAAATGGTTCCTGTGTCCCCTGAAGTTAAAGTATTCTACCTTCTATACTAAAACTTAGAATTATATTCCAGCATTCTGTCATATTAAATTGACTTCAAATTTGCTAAGTAACATTCCTGGCTAAGATGATTGAGGTAATGCTTGGGGACATAGTTGAACTATACGAGAACGGATTGTTTATTACGATGAATTAGATAATTATAATCTAATCAACGAATCGAATATTAGTATCTAGTAAAGTAATTCAGCAGGTAGGGGTGCTGGCAGGGTAGTTTTTTTCAAGTAATTCCTACTTATACGGTGCTATTCCTAACTAGATGTTACGGACCCCTGATAGTTAACTCAACTAGTCATAGCGCTTGTGTCCCACCAAGAGATTTCGCTACGGATAGCGCCACTAATTCATTTTGGGGAAGTTGATCCGCGGTTGAAGAAGTGTGTGCCTTGAGGTATACTGCACTGCGCACAAATGAGGTTTGGGTGGGTCGACAATCGGTGCTTGGCGGTGCGTGGACATAATAAGTGCACGGGGGAGTGGCCGAAGGTGTGGCAAATTGACGGCCAAAACGGCGTGGACTGCGGCCGTTTTGGGCAGCCCATCTGCCGTCTTCTAGTTCACTTAACATCATAACAGTAGATCTGTTCTCGCGAAGATTGTCAATATGAGCGACGTCGTCGCCGCAAGATGTATCCTCTTATTATATACCCATTATTTTGGACGCTTGTTTCTCAAAGTGAGGAAATTAATTCCCGCGCGAAGTGTCACTAAATCCGTGCATAGTATAATTGAAACAGGAGCAGTCAAGTTGGGCGTTGAATAAGGCATAGCTATGGGAAGATATCTGTAAAGAGCTTCGCTCTTTCTTATGGACAACTCTGCTGTCTTGTTTTCTTCGCACGAAAACACGCCCCAAAATTGCTATACAGGGTACGTTTCCAACAATATTCGTACACTGAACGGAGGCCGAGGCTAAGCTGGTTAATTTACCCTGCGCCACACTCATCACAAACCACTCAAGGCTCGACCTCAATCATGGAGTTTCCTCACTGCACAAAATGGGGGATGCCGTGAAATAGGCACCCAGAGAAAAATGTTCAATATTAGCGAGGCATTAGCGATATTAACCGGCATATTTTCGCCAGGCAGTTTCGGAGCCAATCACCCAAGCCGGCTGGGACATAATGGCCAATGTTTCGAGTTTGGGGTTCTAGCCTGTAGGCACGCCATGCTGAAAAAAGTCAGCCCTATGTGTGGGCTGCTCTAAGCCCAAGATCCACTGAAAGAGCCAAAGAGTTCTTGGCATTATTGTGGTTCAAGGCCAACGTAAGCTGGCGTTTTTATTGATCGATATGAGCTCGTATGCTCGTATTCCGTCAACTTCCGAGGTGTTATTACACATTTCAGGTTGTTCCATCCCAGATTTTATCAACAACTCGCATTTCCGCTGGTTGTTGGGCTCTTTCAGCGTAGCCCACAATCACCGTTCGAACTTAATATTGAGGCTATGTGAGCACGACACACGGCTGAATATTACGCGGGCATCGTTCGTCGGTCAGTAGTGCATAGCACACTTGCCATGCAGGACCGACATTTTCCGTGGGTACTGGATTCAACGGAATCTTCTTCCCACTTCCCGAATACCCATACCACACACTGGTTTCGGGCTGAAACAAGCTCGGGGCGAATTGGTCTTATGTGTACGGACAGATTATATTCCAAACCACACTAGTAAAGACCGTGCGCTTCATGGACACCGGGTTCTTCCAATTTTATGGTAGCACCAGTCAGAAAATGAAGTATCCTCGGGAAAGGCACCCTAACAATTGCCGAGGACTAGAATAATTAGGATGTTACAGAAAATAGATGGCTTCGGTGCTACGGTTGCTTTACCCTCAAAGGGGGCGTTTAAGCCTCTGGGACTCGCTTTGAGAACGCACTGAGCAGCGTAATTCTACCCCTTTATTTCCCTATACTCTGTGTGGCCCCTTCGAATATCCCAGATATCAAATGCATCCTTGGTTAAAAGATGATGCAGTAGTAAGTAAGCACTAATGCCGGCGCTTCCTACTCACACAATGACTTTTCTGGGACGTCCGGAACTATGATTGTACCGAGCAATGCTCGCCATTGCGGACAAATGCAGTCGGAATTGGGTTTGAACAAAAATCGAGCATACAACAGTACTCAACGACCCTGTCTTAAGAATAGTGAATACTCGGGCCCTAGTGGTGCCCGTTCCTTCGCATTTAATCTGATCATATTGGGTAGTTGCGACGAAAGATCATGAGCCATCTCTACTTGGCTTAAATCGATGGGCTAGCCTAATTGCTATCGTCCACAAATTGCAAGTTGGTAAGACGGGACAGCTACTTCGGATGTACTCCACCTGGAGGTTCCCCACTGATATAGTGCAGTCGATGGTTAATGATGTGGACGCTCAGGAGAGACGTCTCATCTGCTAATCATTTTCCTCTTTTAGACTGAATGTCCTATGCTCTACATAAATCAGGAACGGCCCTCACTGCTTCTCTGGTTTCCAAATTATCTTCCATCTTCTTCAGGCCATGATGTTCTTCTCACTTACAGCGCTTGCCATTCTTCCTAGTCTGACTTATTTCTTCACCAACCCCGAGCTTTGCTCGGGTTTGTGCATCATCAGTGACCCTGAACTTATGCGTCGAGTGTCTGACGGAAAGTACTTCCGCTTCTCTACCGGTGGCGAAATCACTTACGCCACCTCCGATTCATTGCATGGTCCCTGGGAAGGTGTCGGTTCTGTTCTCCCTAGCGGATCAAAGATAAAGCTGGCTGGTAACACAGATTTGTGGGTGAGTTCCTCTATCCTGGTCCTGCACTATGCTACATTCCGTCCCATATCGCTAAAGTTCTGCAATAGGCCCCCTGATGTTCATTACATAGACGGAACCTACTACCTGTTCTATGCGGTTTCTACCTTCGGCTCCCAGTCGTCCGCCATCGGTCTCGCCACCTCTACCACCATGGACCTCAACAGCTGGAACGATCACGGGTCAATTGGTGTTGCCTCTAATAGTGGAAAACTGTAGCAATGCCATTGATCCTAACCTTATCAAGGCCGACGGAACTTTTTACATGAACTTCGGCTCTTTCTACAATGACATCTATCAAGTCAAGATGAATTCTGCAGGCACCAAGACCGCCGGCAGCGCTGCTTACAACATCGCCTTCAATGTTACGAGCGACCACTCCGAGGAAGGGGCGTTCATGTATCAGTATGGCAGCTATTTCTATCTCTTCTTCTCGTCAGGTGCATGCTGTGGCTACGATACCAATCGCCCTGCTGCTGGTGAGGAGTACAAGATTATGGTTTGTCGCAGCACCACAGCTACTGGAGGATTTGTAAGTGTTTCTCTGCGTGATGTCCTATTCTCCATTTGTTCCTACGCTAACATATAATTGTAAAAAATAGGTCGATAAAGATGGCAATGATTGCCAGGCGAGTGGCGGCTCTCTCGTCTTGAAGAGCCATGATAATATTTATGGACCTGGCGGTCAGGGTGTTTTCGATGATCCGGAGTACGGGACTATCCTTTACTACCACTACATCAACACTGAGGTCGGTTATGCTGATGGTGATAAGCAATTTGGTTGGAACGTCATTAACTGGTCTGACGGGTGGCCTTCCGTGTAAGCTGCGGTTTTTGTGCGTCCTTGGAGTTTTGCCCGGGAACGAGAGGGCTATTTGTATATAGTGGTGGTTGAGGTCACAGGGAAGCAAAACAAGTTCTTGGCATAATTGCGGTGCTTGATATGCTTTACACAACAACAATCCGACGTCGATATCAACGTCGCGCTTCCCGGATTTACTCCAGACCTTGCGATCGCTTTCCCTTGGTATCTGGGAGAGTGCCTTTCAGGTCTCCCACGCACATACGTGCACATTTATACACACAGAGAGAGAGACATTCAACATATTAATGCCCGGCGGTCAAGCTAAAAGGGCAACTACCACTAATCGACTAACACCTTTCTTAAGCTGTGCCTTATCTCCTGAAGGCCGATACCCTTTCTCAAATAGCATATGGCGTCTCATCAGTCGATATCGTAGCGGAATCTCGTGGGGTGGTAATCATGTTAGTAGGCTGCTTTGAAGGCGCTTCTTCAAGTGTTCAACATCTTGTCTTCCGCAGCTGAAACGCGCCTACCGTGTTTGGCCCGAGGCCGTTGGTGTGAATTAGGTCGGGAAGAGGGGCGGACTTCTAATTATCTGTATGGTTAAACCGTGTGAAGGCTCGTACCGCTTCTAAGTTTGGGGCCAGTGTTGACCATTTGAAGGGGATTCTCGTCCCAGGAAGAAGGATATGTTGCCTCGGTAGGTGTTGATACATTGAAGCCATCCATTTCCAACACTGAAAGAGGAATCGACAGAGAAAGTGCTCTACGGTCTCTCTTGCTTGGCCACATGCACATTGATCCGTCTGCACAACTTTGGTCTGGTAGAAATACCCGTTTATCGCACCATGCCCATCCGGAGCCGAGCCAGCACGCTCACTTCTTTCCATGATAAACGATCGTACAATTGTCGGGATGTGTTTTGCCCGGGAGGGCCGCATCTACTCTTCTCACATGTTCCCACTTCCTCCGGCAGCCGTTTGCTGGTGATTTGTTGGGATCGTGCGATATTGAGAATGGTTTATTTCATCTTGGGAGGTTGTGTGGGTGGCATGGCGTCTTCTCGGGTAGCTGCCCTGGCCTACAACTTAGCGAGGCCCTTCAGTTTGTTATACTCGCTGGTGGGGACCCAGCGGATCGTCATCCTGTTTCCGTTCCTTCGTCGCGGTCTTCTAATCATCTTGTATATTAATGAAAGATGTTCCTGACCCGATTGTTGCCACAGGTATCCCAGTGCAAGTGCGGCCCCTTTGTTGCTCTTGAGTAGCGTGACTATACTGTTTCAGTCCCGATAGGGCACTCAATACGTGTGCCATTGCTGCTAGTTCTGCGGAGAATGGATTTTGCCCTGATATTGCACCCAATGTCACGGAGAAGGACTTCAGTTTCAGTTTTCAATATCGAGGTGGCTTCTTCTCGATCGCCACCTCAAATTATACAAAGTCGTTCCGCACTGACCACGACTTGTATTGATCCGCCCGGTACCATCTATCGGTCCGTCTGCATACATGTCTCCCATGGTGCTAATGTGAACAGATTAATAAATTCCACTGTCTCTATCTCAATGCTTTCAGTGCGCCCGCTACTGCTGAATATTTTATCCGAGCTGTATCTCTGCGGAAAGGCTTGTTTCTGGGAGAGTGTGGAGGTCCGTTCACAGTTTTTCGGCCCGTTTCTAGAAACAGTGTTGCACAGTGGCAATGTGAGCCTCTGCCTCTGCTACGCTGGTTGCAACTGTGAGAATGGTTCCTACAATTGCCTGCGCTCCCACCCACTGGATTCGTTTAATCGTCCCAATTGCCTTATCCCTGCAAGTGTTGATGTGGATAGCTGTTGTGCGGTTGCCGGGAATAGGCCGCGAAGTCGCCGAAGCTACATCGCTGCCTCCAAGCCTACGGATGCTGCCCTCCTGCGAGTACTTGAGTTTCGCGTCCATAAGAACCTCCAGGATCTTGACATAGTCTTTGAGCTCAACGGTTTGCCCAGCGATAGTGGAAGGCCTATGGTCTGAATTGTAAGCCTTACGCGAAGTGTTTGATGACTGTTTTATGTTCTTCGAACGTCGCGCCGCTCCTTTTCTCCCAGCCGTGCTTTATTGACAATTGCATCAATGCCTTCCCGATTACTTTACGTAGTTTTTCCGGCCACCCGCGCGGTAAAGTCATCCACGAATGAAATTAGTCCACCTCGGCTCCTGATTTATCGTTGTACAAGGTCTGCGTTGAAGAGAAATAGGATCGGAACAGCGGCGAGCCCTGCGGCAATACAACCTATGGAGGGCTTTGGACCTTAGACGCTTGGCCGTTAATTTGAATGATCGCGGATCGATTTATTCACACACTTCCCGTTGAACGATGAACCGACTACTGCAGCGAGAGCCGTCAATCGACTGCGCTCTCTTATACCGTCGACGTTATTATGTACCGACTTTGGGTATGTATCTGGACCCACGATCTCACGGCAGAAAATCCGCGTGACATCCCAATCCCTGGGCAAAGGAAGAGGAGGTCCGCACTGGTACAGTAAACGCAGATCTCAGGAGAGATATCAGGATACCGTTGCACAAGTTTTTGCGATGCAGGAGTCATGTAATAATCCTCGACAGGCTACTCTTGGTAGAAAGAGCGGAATGTATTCCCGGCCTGGATTGTGAAGGCTGCATCCTGCCCAACCTTAAGGGAACATAATAATATAAAGCTTGGTCGCTCACCCTTAGAGGCACCTCCTGAACCGTTAGCAAATCCTTTAGTGGGAGCAGGTCAGAACGAGCTCTTCATATTTAAAGGAGCTCCAATAAGCCAACCTGCTGAAACCCCTACTTGAACAGACTGCCATTTGTACGATGGCCTCGATCATCACTTGGACTGGATGTGCTGACTTGGCCTCAAATGGACGTGGAGTTGGAGCCTTATTACTCCATTAAAGGACTAGCGAAGGGTACGACGCAAGAAATCACATCAGAAGGTAGCAATATTTTCTAATGGTTCAAGTCAGACAATGATCGGGTGACAGGTTGGTGTAGCACGAAAGCTTCCTGGCTCTGATGGGATGTGCATGAAGCTGACTTTACAGGCTGTGCACTTGGATTCCAAGCGGTAATGAAGCTCTTTACCTGATTAGGAGCACCACACTAGCAGCTGGGGCAACTTTAGTCCGTAAACAAATACCACTGCCCCGCAGATTCTCATAGCGCGTACCTATTCCCAAGGAAGACGGTCTTATTGATTACTCGACCCTGCGCACCTGGAAAATTCCTTTGCACCGCTTTCTCATCGGCCCCGGTAGCCTTACCCCTGGTATGCAGGGCATGCATCTCTCGGGCTGTGTCTCATAATAGACCGCTGTTCGGTATCTCAACCGGCTTTCACCACCTATTCGATGAGAAAGAGACGGTCGCCTACGACTTCGTCAACCCTATTCAGGATGAAGCGTATGATAATGCTGGTCAACGGAGAAGCAGGATGAAAACCTGTCAAAACGAACGGACAAACTATGTCTCTCACCCCGACCGTTCGCGTAGCAGCGAAGGCAACCGCGGTTTTAGCCAGACACAAGCCTTCCTGGCCATCTAAAGGATCGATAATCTATCGGCTGCTTAAAGGAGGGTTAAAGAATTTGCGCCGAGCTTTCGCTTTTCTTGGCCATTCAGTCAACCCCGCTCTGTATACGATCCTCAAATAAGGGACCCAGCTCCGACGAGCTGTAGCCTGGCTTAATCAATGGGGCAACTTTGCTTTGCCAAGCCTTCTGGAGACCGAAACCACGAAAAGTGGTGCTTGGCGAAAGTGCGGGACTTTTCACCGACTGCCCACAATACGAGATAACTTATAGAGGATTAGTCGCGTCACCGTCTTTTAGCACAGGTGTGAAGATAAGTACCCAAATGTCCTTTCCCCACGTCTTGTTCTCGTGAATATATGCGGAATATACGTGTCAACTACGTAAAAAGTGACAGGTAGTGGACAGGAGACCTTGGAAGACGAATGTTTATATTGTCACGCGGGAGTAGTCCAATATTGTTCATGCTGATGATACAACTTAAGAGCTAATGTGTGATCCCTCTCCCGGTGCCACAGAATCTTGTAAACCCCATTCGCCGTTTCCTATACGCTTGCCGTAGAATTTGACAAGAATACCCACCGTTGCGGGCCCAAGGATGGTATTGAGCAAGATTGCCCAGACCGCCGTAATAAAACCATCCTCGCTGACATACGCTGTCTCATTGTACCCGATCTCAACAATTAACAGACCAATTTCACCCCGAGCTACCATGGCGGAGCCCAGCAACATTGCCGAAAGCCAGATGGTCCCCGGTTTCCTTCTCTTCTCCTCACTCCCTTGGGTCGTATGAACTTCTCCCCCAGCACTGCTCTTCCTCGGGCTGCAGACTTTAATTCGCCGGAATAGCGAATTAAAAGGGCACCAAGTCCATAGTGGTAGCCATACCCCAACGATAAGCTAGGCCGTGTTAGTGGAATGATGAGGATGTGGATATACAGGGCAAGACTGTCTTACCTTTCCGAACACCATGAGAAGTGTGAAAATGACGCCCCTCCATATCCGTTTACCCGTCCAGAGCTGCACAAAAGGAATGGCAAACCCGATACTCGCGAAGAATAGTGGCTCCATGAGATACTTTTGAATATCCATGAGGTATCTCTCGAAAGTGTGCACAAACGTAGGACTCTTATCTGCGGAGCGCTCTCCCTCTTCACGGCTCATAACGACAAAGGGTCCCTCTGGATGCTTGCTCGGTATATATGTAAGAAATGTCCCGGCTAAGAATGCACCAAAGAGAACTGATGTGCCGGTGTATGCTGCAATGCTTATAAATGCAGACATAGATAGGATCATCAATATAATATTAGATATATGATCATATCGTGCAAAGTAATCCTCAATATACCGCCGGAAGATCGGGGCGAAAAAGAACTTTGTCACAATTGGCGTGGCGGTTGCCATCGCAATTGATGCCACTATTGGACGTCCAATAAGCCAGCCAAGATTCACGTCGTTGCCGCCCTCGAGCTGACCTAATTTCCCTATGACGCTGCTTTAAGTCAATTGCCTGCTGGGATAGTTTTGACGACGGATAAGTGGTAAGCTGACCTAGCCATAACCAGGCCGACAACGTCGTCCATAACAGCTGCGCTAATCAAAACGGAGCCAACCCGTGTCTGGGCGAGATCTACAGTACCGGAAGCTGAAGAAATGACCGCAAACGTCGTGCCTACGTATTTGGAGTAAGTACACACGCCTCTGAAAAGGACCTTGACGATGAAAGGGAAAGTAAAGGAGACGATATTCTCAGAGTGTAAGCCAAAAATCTTACCTAACGACGTAGCCGATAGAGCTGCCCCGATAATAAAGGTTTCGACAGCACCTATGCGTGCAGGTAAGCTTTCAGGCGTATATTCTGCAGATCAGCCAAGTCTCACCATATCCAAATCCGAGATAAAGAAGGAGGTAAGATAGGCCTATAGGAAAGCAGACACCCGTGGCAGCACCGAGCATGCTCGGCACCAAGTTTGCCTTCAAAAGGTCAATGCGAGCGCTAAGACCTCCTATCAATAGGATTTCGTTATCACTTGTACGGATGCCCCATGGCAGGTATATACTTACCTTCAAATATAATAAGGATTAAGCCTACATATCCCAGGGCAAGAAATGTTGTCTCCCAATCGTCTTCGAGAATATCGGCAAGGGGTTTCCCATACACAATGCCAACTGCAATTTGACCAATGATGCCCGCCCGGATAATCTTAGCGGATGCCCATTCCGACAAAGATAAGATGAAAAAGAAGGAGATGATGATCAAGATTTGTACAACTGTACAATAATAATGTAAGCTTGTGGTTCGGTATGGCGAATTATTTTTGAAACATACTCCCTGGCTCGTGATATGGGAAAAAGCTGCCTGCCATAGCTTGACTAATCAGGTACTAGTCGATCGATAAGGACTGCGAGAGAAATGTTACCCAACAGAATCAATGTACCTGGCGAATAATTGCTTGCCCATCTTTAAAAGAAAGGACCCTCCAGCTACATTGAAAAGTTTTACGGCCACCAAGACCCTTCGACTAGATACTACCTAACCTCTCATGGTCTTGACCGGAACCAGAAACCACATATCGCGGTGATTGGTGCAGGGCGGGAAATCCACCCTTGGCACTCGGCCTTGGCACTTACGATGGATGACGTTAAATCTGGGCGTCTGGGCGCCTAGACGCAGTCGGGTCCATCCAGTTCCGCCCACGTTTACCCTCGGTTGTGACTCCGGCTTTTCTTTTGGGAGCGTCCTACGTGTGCGCGTGAAACCGGGGATTCTTATGTGACAACGGGCGCCATTATCCGAAATCTCCCAATGATCCCCAGTGACTCGCCAATTTCGAAGAAGGGGGAGGTGTACCGTAACCGCGTAACGTACATCTTATTACCCCAACCTCGCAGCCTGACAGCAACGAATCTCCTGGAGCCACTGAGAGGAAAGTAACTCGGATGCTCCGGGTCGATGCGCAGCATCGATACTTAGCATAGAATGTAGCAATTCGCAGCTATGTTCCTATAGATTGGGCAAGTTAGTGTCTAGGCAAATCTGAAGTGACAAGGGGAGAACCTGACATGGGATATCTCTCTGATCAGGAAGTTATACTTCCCAACCCTTCGCTCCTCGAGGTAGTCTCTAAAGCATTCGTCCCGATCAGTCGCTGTATTCCAGGGGTTCCTTCCTGCTCGCATTGCGATGTAAACAATAGCCGCAGCCCATATATCTGTTTTCCTTGGATCGAATGGCTCTTCGAGATACTGCTCCGGAGAGATGTAAGGTGCTGAACCACGACGTCTGCTGCTCATATGTACTCGGTCCTCCCGAGGAATGCGAAAGCACTCTGCATTTCCAAAGTCGGAGATCTTGAGACAGCCGCGATCGGTGAGGAGAAGATTTTCGGGCTTTAAATCACGGTGAGCGATATGCATCTTATGAAGATACAGAACACCGCACACCAGCTGCTTGAAGAAGCAATCAGACTCCTCTGGCAGAAGTTGACGAGAGGCAACGATCAGGGAATGTAGATCTCCACCGGAGCAGTATTCCATGCAGGCGCATAGGTTCCCGTAGCCCACAGGTAGGAGATCGAATGTTTTGATAATATGCGGGTGATGCAGAAAGTATCCAATTGGGAACTTTGCTATCACTCGTCTGCGATGATCGTACTGCATTGGCTCCTGCCCTTGCGAAAAAATTTTCAGAGCGTAGCAGCGGTTATGCTGCGGCTTGCAGGTTCCTCCAGTCTTATGTGACATCAGCACCGCACCGTGGGAGCCAATTCCTATAATTTCCTCGATCTGCCCGTATTTCTGTGTAACCATTGCCAGTTTGTCGCTCTCGACTGGCCAGCCGCCCGGGCAACTTTCTGCCCACTGCTTCCATTCCCGTAGCAGTCTGACGCCGTTGGAACATTCACGCCCACCGGTGCATCGCAACCATCTTAGCATGCGGCCGTTTGTCCAGCTACGCCTTTTCGGCTGCACGCAAATTAAGTGATGGCTATGCTCCCCATTTTTCTGGACAAATCTATCTCGTATGGGGAGAAGCTTCCGCCATTTCTCTGCAAATGGTGGAAGCTCACGTATAGACTGCGGCCATTCTTGAGGCAAGACCGTGTGTCTCGTTAAGAGCCGGTCACTGTCCTCTCTAGGCTCCAGTTCTTTCTGAGGGTTTAGAGAACCTGGCTGCCTGAGCAACTGCTGCAACAAGAGCCGGAAACACTTAAACATCCCTTTGCAAGGCAACACAAATCGCAGAATGTAATTAGTATATGGCGAGCCTCCTATGGGAAGCGGTATGGTGTCGATTATCAGGAAGTATGCAGTGTAATTGATACGAAAGAGTGAGGACGAGGGCTCATGAATGTCATGGTTATCATCTACGTCAGACGGCGCAGAGTTCCACTTTTATCCAAACTGAAAGACCTAAATACCACGAGTATGATTCTTGGCATTACGTACACTACTCATGGGTGAGGGGAAACTTAATACTCGATTACAACATGCCAGCAGCTTTATAGCCTAGTTGAATGCTGAGCACGATATGACGTGCCTATTCTATTCGATGATCATCGAAAATGATTCAAGAGAGCAATAAGTCATTAATATCTAAATAATACTGTTAAGTCCACTGAAGAAAAACAAAAAGATCCTAATAGACTGATGCTTAACAGTTCACAGGCACAGAATAACTATCGTTGCATAAATCAGCAGGTTTAAGATGTCCACTTTTTGTGAGCGCCTTTATCTGAGACTCCTGGAGCCGATCGTAGCCATCAATATTGTTAAATAGTTATATCAACACAGCTTTAGCAGCACCGGTTTGTATCTTGATTTGTCATTGATAATTATTTCCTTGACGAAAGAACAGGGTGGTGGTGTACTGACATCAAACGACTGTTAATAACCACTGACAAAATTTTCGAAAAAATCCTCAGTACGATGATCTTGATGATGTATGTCCATCTTATTGTTAGCATTTATACCGAACAGATACTCCTTGGGCGCAAGTTTGAGCGCAACTCAGGAAAAGATACGCAGAGGAAGAGGCGCTTTTGAACAGGACACACCTTAGAAATGGCTTCACAGTCGCACCTGTTTAGTGCATTTGATTAGGGGAGCCCTGGCGGCCGGTATCCTCGGCGACGTTCATATCATGCTTAGTTAATGAGGCAATGAAGGTTAAGTGTATATCGTAGTAAGCCCAAAAGCGTACGTAACGCTGTTCATTCGGCGCTAGGTTCGTTCACAAACTGTTGACGGAATCACACAGGCCGTCCAATCCTGTAGAGAGAAGCCGAATCTTAGAAGCCGGGGGCTCACGGTGGATGAAGACGGATAGAACGACTAGGTATGCGACGTGCACTATAACATGCACCGACCATCTAGAATTGAATGACTCTCAGGTCAGCCATTCTTACGGAAAGTCCAGCTCCGCGGGGATCGATATGATATTGCACTAGTAAACGACGGTGTCACAAATGGCATAGATGATAACACCATCATAAATGAGATCGCGAATCACTGGTTTTGAAGTTATCGTGTTTTGCTGGATGGGAGTCTAGGAAAATACTATATGTCGCAGCAGAACGATATTGTATGGGCAATCCACCGCGGTCTATGAGTTATGGGAACCTAACCGCAGACCAACAGCCTTCACGTACTTGATGAGCAAGGAATGCAATAGACCGCCTGGAGTCTAGTGCAGTAATGTGTAATCTGAGCTATAACGACCTGCTAGTACTTAACCAGTGATGCTTCCCGCTCTCTGGCGTGGGAACGCCAGCATGTTGCTCGGCATACCTGCGCTCCAAACCCTCATGGCCGGTCGCTGTCTGATACGGGAACTTGGGAGGGCCGCCCAAGCTACCAACGACAGCACTATTGTCCGCTGTAAGGTCGTCAAGAACATCCAACTCCTGCTCGCCGAACCACTTATGAAAAGCCCATACACGAAGGGGAATAAGGAGGATAATCAAGACCGGGAACCCTATCCGCGAATCTGTAGCGGGGCAACAAATTGACGGACCATGAAAGTATGGAAGGGAGCCGGTAGATTGCTGGGAGACATTGGTGGGATGACACACGTAGCCAGTCAGATCGGGATTACTCGCAATAGCCGCCAAAAAAAACGCCTTCTATGCAAGGAAACACAGCTGGCTACCAACTTATTATAAACCAGAGAACATTAGAAATTTTATTTTCTTCTTGCTCTGACTACTCAGACGAGCTTCATGCCCCAAATGAGCAGCCATATTATAGATTTAGATCGGATCCGGGGTCGGAATTTGTAGGGTGAGTGGGTACTATTCCATAGCCTTTCTAATCTTACTTTGCCATTTCTATTGGCACATTCTGACGGCGATGGCTGATGCATGGCCACGTCATGCGAGACCTACATATGCCATCACACCGGGCAAAGCATCGTACCAGCAAGAGCCTGATAACTGAATCAATTCCTGGGCTCCCACACAGCAGCTCGCATTTGCTTGTTCATAAATAGCGGCAATGATAATCTTTTCTTTTGTTTTCTATAGGACCCACCTTCTTCTACCTGAATAGATCCACGAACCCTTGATGGGGAAAAAAGGAAAAAAGAAAGGAAAGTCGGCAGTATCCAAATCCGCTGATACAGCTGTTGTACCTACGGAGCCGGTTTCTGCAAACGAACAAATTGTCAGGAAAATGAAAGACCTGATCCTTAGGTTAGATACTACGGTTATTAATCTTATCTCATATAATTACTGACATCCAAACTAGTCAGTTTCTCAATCCGAAGTACAGCGATTTGTCTATCAAATGTGGCGATGAAATCTTTCCAGCCCATCGGAACATACTCTGTCCCCAATCAAAGTATTTTGAGATCGCTTGTAGTAGCCAGTTCAAGGTGAGGCACTCCATTTCTTATCAGCCGTTATCATGAAGTTGACGCTAATAATTATAGGAAAGCAACGGTGAGATCATCATTGAGGATAGCAATCCCATGCTTGTCAAAAAGAAACTCGAATTCTTGTACACGGGCGACTATACTTACGACGGTTCTCCAAGTACCCAAGCTCTTTTGAACTCAAAGAATAGTTCTGAATGCTCGTCCCAAACATGGACAGAAAATGATGAGTTAGATGCAGACACTGCACAATATTCAAATCCATCTCGAAAACCCAATACCACAAATTTGCAGAGCTGTCATGCCTTCTTTCACGCTCAAATTTACGCACAAGGTGATTATTTTCAGATCAACGAGCTTAAGAAAAAAGCAAAGGACTACTTTATGAAATCCTTCTTGGAACATCCCGACCGACATTCATTCAGCTCCTCCGTCATTGAAGTTTACAGCTCAACAGGAGGGCACGACCGTGGCCTAAGAGATCTTGTTGTCCAGCTCACGACCGATAACCTCAAGACTTTGAGGAGTGGGGGTGATCCTATATTCTGCAATAGTCTTTTGGCATCCGTTCCCAATTTCATGCTGGATGTCTGTCTTTCGACCTTGGACAGGTGTGCTGAATATCAGAGGCAGCAAGCTGGAATCTGGGGTTAATAGGAACTTGATTTCGAAGCGCGAAAATACGTCGAATAATTTGCAGCTGCTCAGCTTTCTATTTGTTGTGCTACTTTATCTGTTGGTACGGTGACAATGCAGGGCTTCAAGCACCAAAGCGGAGTAATGGTGATATTGACCTAGTGGGCTTATTGAAGGGCATTCCTCGTCGGAGCTTGTTCAAGCATTGTCTCGTTGACAGAGACAGTGATTGACGCCCTTTTCATGAATGAGCTAGTTTACCCGTAATAGCCCGAACAGAGGGAAACCTGCCAGACATTTTACATAGGAGATTGATTACAATATTCGAACCGTAGTTATATTTTAAGTCATTAGGTTACGCTCCATCCTGTAGCTCAGGCATGGAAGGGATACAGATCTCGGCATGTGCTTCCACAAAAAAAGCTGCAGTCGCCTGTAGCACAATTAAAGAATCCTTTGCGCTGCTTTTCCGCGCTGCTTTTCCCTGCCACTTTTACCCCACCTGCTTGGCTGATTACACAGACACCGTGGGTTCTTGCCAGAGATGCCTATCGAATCAGCCCAGCTACGGAATGTTCCGCACCTTCCACATGAATAATAACTCCGGCCACTGTGCCCGTTTTGGTTCCACGGTTTGACAACTTTAAAGAAAGTCGGAACCCGACATATCTTGCATGAGGGGCTAGTAACGCTGTAAGTTAAAGTCGGTCCCGCCACACATGGTAGCAGGAGACCGACCGGGGCAGGTTGCAGCTGAGGCGTTAAAACGAGTCTTGATGGCGATGATACAGGACCTTCCACTGAGGTAGGTTGACTTGTGTTGGCTGAATGGAGTCTTTTGTAACAAGTTGTTTTCGAACAGTTCTTGTCGGACGAGGTTATTCGATGGACTATCATATCGTCAGCGTAGAGGGAAACGATGGCGCTTATGGAGGTATACAAGCTGGGTTCTTCTCGATTCTGCTGGTGGGGTAGGGCCCCTTCCTCCTACCAAGACACCAATTTATAAGCTCCATCTTCAAACGCTGGTTAAGCCAAATTTATGGAAGAGAGATGATATATAACAGGAAGTAAAACACTGAGCATGACCTACTTGTGCTTTAAATATCCAAATTTTGGTAGCCTTCGCGGTCCGCAATTTCTGATCATGCGGCGTCCGAAGTTCGTGCTCGCCATTCTGCCTTGTCGATGCCTCCGTATTTCCGAATCGATAATGTCAAGACCATGATAGGCTGCTTTTCCCTTTCGATCGAGCCTCAAAGCACACGATCCACAACATAGGATTGGTCTTACACGGATTATACAGGCTCAGCCAAATATGCGTTGTCTCACGGCGTCCCGCCCTAAGCCTCATGGCCGTAGCTGACCTCGTCTTCCCTCCCCCTTCGGGACGTCCAAGCTCCCAGGCGTTTCGTAGGCCATGCTAGACTTTCGTAATTCTGCACTCCAATTGATATTGTAAGTCAGATGCACCCATTCAGATTATGTATTAGATACCGACGAACTAGGATTACACGAGAGACACGTAGACGAGGCTATATTTCACGTCAGCTCAGACAACACTAATGGCCGATAGGCTGCCGGGCGGCTTTTAGTCTATGGCAGCCAAAGTAGCACCGAGTAAGCTCACTTTCAGTTGGATTACTTGCCTGCATGGCTGATATCAGCTGAATAAACTCCCTTCCGCCTGCCAAGCGCAAGTTCTATCAAGGCACTTCCGCCGGAAATATTCGCTATACATGAAAAATGAAGTAGCACTTGCCAGGCTTTAGAGGGATAGGGTTTCCAATACTAGGAAGTTATTGCAACATTGCCCCCTGCACGCGAAGTGGAGAGAATCTTGCTGTCGTGATCAAGTGCGCCAATACAACAGAAATCAAGGGCTTGCATAGGTCGCCTATGCCTTCCTGCTGCCGTAGATTGCATGGTGCTGTGTTTTAGGCATTGGGGTATATGGTACGGAATTGGCAATCAGGGTACTAAGTTGTCAACAACATGGCGCTGCCTTGTGGGCCGTAATCGTGCTTTCTTACCTAGCCACGATGGCTGGATTCACAAGAATGAGTCAAGAAAATCAAGGGAAGAGCCTTTGTAAAGCCACTTCTTGAGTAGAGTCACGCTTTTCAAATGAGTCACACATTGATCATAATAAGTAGTTCCATGGTACTAACCCAGTTTCTTCTATGGCCCGGAGGGATGGTATACCGTCTCTACCAAAACAGTATATATAAATGCGTCCAGATCGTGTAAGGCCACACCACACTCGGGAGGCGGCAGCTGCCCACATCCGAGAAGAAAGTTTCGTGAAATAGATCCTCTCTCGCGGTTTCCATACCAGTCATTCCACGTGACTGACAGTCTATTTTGTCACGTATTTATGCATCGGTGTTATGATGTATTGAGTGCAAAGTCTTTTCTCTAGGCGAATTCTTTCAAGTAGGTCTTTAAAAACGCATTAGACTCCTGACTAGCTATATCTCGGATACTTACCCACTCTAGTGGGCAATGATGAATCAGACTTTAGAAATATGCCTATGCCAAAATTGCACTTTTGCGTCATTTAGCTCGTTGGCCACTTTGGCCCTCCTTTAATTTTCCATAACAGAGGCCATTGGTTCAGTTTGTAGTCAATGCTCTGTATTAGTTTCGTGGGGGCATACCGTCGTTCCTATCCGCCTGCCCTGGGGGTCGACCGCTTAGTCAGTATTGAGTCATCTAGAACAGAGATAACGTAATCCACGGTCGCGCGGCCACCACTCTGGTAGGATTACCCGATATAATCTGAATGAAACCTTTGAATCAACAAAAATTCATACATATATACTATATAGCCAATTACTAGGTGTTTTAGAGCACTGTGTACGTCTATGGTCAATACTGAAGTAATCTATACAGCGTAGAGACACGCGTGAGGGGCTTTCTGGAGGTTGAGGTAGCTGCTCAACCTCAGCCTCAATCTGGATCTTGCTTATTTTGAACCTCTTCTTGTTGTATAACTCTCTGAACACCTTCAATGGTGGTGAAAAAAAAAATTAAAAATAAAAATAAAAATAAAAATAAAGACAAAGACCCGCCTCCTATCTGTACCATCTTGACTAGTAGCAGAAAAACTGGTCTCAAAAGGGATACTTCTCGGAATAATCTTATTCCAGGCCGGCTTGGTTATGCCGCGAGGTCCGCCAACGTGCAGCCCCTGAGGGCACCTGCACCGGAATGGCTGTGGTTTGTACGACACCACCCACTGCACTTCTGGGAACTACGCCTGCTCCAGCCGTGGAAGAGCTGGATTATATCTCTTACGATGCGTTCAACGCCCATAATGACTTACGTAAGCAACAGTACCTGGACTCGGGCGCGCCATCAAGTTCTCCGTGAGACTGGACAGATCTGACCTCGTTGTCAATAGTATCGATAGTGCCGTGTGGTTGTTGTCTTAGCCCCGTATTTCTCGGGGCCATGGATAACACAATACCCCTTTAAGCTTCTTTGTTATACTTCACGGCGAGTTACATAGTGTGCTATTCGGTGCTTACTGTTCCCTCCACTCTTCGGTTATCCTTACTGGCACGGATAACAGTATCTTTTCACTAAATCGCAATATCGCGCCTGAAACGCCGAACTCTACCAGGGGACAGAAAAATTGGCTTATTAGCTAGCCCCTTTCTGCCGAAGATGATCTGTCGAGTTTAGCAAGGTAACACCGACGCTGGTTGAGGGAGGCTGATATGCTGTTCTTTGTTTGACAATCTTGGCGGAGTCGGGTCGAACAGGCTTAGCCCCGATGTTTCTCTGGAAGCAAACATGCTTCGCTACATATATAGTAGACACCACTGTGCAATTAGTCCAGCATTGTCTCTTTAAGGCCATGCGTCCTCCGCCAGCTTCCTATCATCACATACCGGAAGAGAAGCGCCAGTATCGGCCAATCATATTTACTGGGCAGTTCAATCTATCAAAGCCAACCAATAATCACCATGAACAAAGAGACATCAGAATATCCACACCGACAGCTGCTCCCTAAAGCCTCCCTTGGGAAAGTAGGCCACTCCCACTCTCCCGTCCACGCTCCATCCAAGCGCAGATCATTCGCGTGCACAAATTGCCGGAGAAAACACATTAAGGTTAATTTCGTGAAGTGAACTCACACTGATGAGACTAACTAATTATAGTGCACTGGTCCTCCATCCTGCGAAACATGTGTTCATTCTGGGCGAACTTGTGTATTCGAGCCCTCTAAAGACCGATGAAGAAAAGAAGCTCTGCGACATGCTGAAAAGGCAACAGAAAGATACAGAAACGCCCTGGTGATGGTGATTCAGACATTCAAAAGCGGTGCAGATCAGGATGTCCGTGATCTGGTGGATAGGATAAAACAATCTTCTTCGGTTGATGACAGTCTGGCAGAGCTGCAAGAGATGACACATTGAGAGAAGTAGGATGCACGTTGACCACATGTATTTAACGTTTGTCGCTGGGAGATGTTCGGCGCCTTGGAGAGTCTTCACCGAGCAGCTGACCAGATCCGTAGCGGGTATTGAATTCATTTTTCTCCGCCCGCGCGGGTGGCTCTTCTCCTATCCCGACTTGTCCACGGAAGTCCCGAGATAATTGCTGTAGCGAAGTGTCTGACATTTGGCCCAACCAGTGCGCCGATTTCGAGCCAGTGATGATAAGCTTGGCGGAAATCAGATCTCCAATGGTAGATACCACGAGCTGATGTGACTCATCTGAAGATGTCACGTCCTCAAAGATATTTGTGCGGGCTCTGTGTGCCAATTCGGAGGCCTCTGAACAGACATTAAGACATTGGATAATGCTTTCCCTCTCCTCCTTGATAAGATTCAAGTTAGTGGGATCCTCGGACATTATGCCCTGTTGCGGCATTTGTCTCAGTCGATTTGTCAGTTCCATCAAATGGGCCTGGAGTGCCTCCGAGTTTGATGACACTCTTGCGCCAAAGTCAGTGAGCATAGCGCTGGTCAGGTTCTGGGATTGACCGGATATATCATCATTGCCAGAACCAAACTGTATAGACATATTCTCACCCTTATAATGGAGTTGCGGAAGCTGTTTCTGGAGGTGTATAATGACTTGCGCGACACGAGTACATATTGTCAGGCATTGCTCAGTGCTTTCTTCTCCATTATATCTCGTAAGATAAAAGTATCAGACCTTTGAACAGGGCCCCTGTGCTGATCAAGCGATTGCAACCTTTCCTCGATGTCTTGTAGATGCTCCTGAAGGTCAGACGTTGCTTCCTCGATCATGGTCTTATACTGGTCGATGACAGCGCTGGCAACAGTGGCTTGACGACTGAGTATATTGAGTCAGGGTCAATGGTCCATAGTCATCGTAAGGCTCATATATCTTACAATGTGGCGCCCCCGAGAGCGATGGAGATAGTCGCTTTATAACCAGCAAGCGTTGTTTTCAGGTCATTAATATTCCCACCCATGTACTGTAATTTAGCCCAGTCACGACAGCTTGTGCGTTGGCCGTTAGAATGGGCCACACATTTGCGAATAATTTCTCTGAACTCGCTGCATATTTTCCCACATCGCAGAAGAGGTAACTTCAAGCTGGCCAGCTCGGCTTCATTGTCCATTACTGCCGAGATTAAGGTGCCGAGGACCTGTGTTAAAGATTCCAATTCATACCGTAGCTCACGAACTGTTCGCTGCGTGTTTTTGAAGCCCTCGACTAGAGCATGGAGCGATTTGCTCGCTTCAAAGGCGAAAGTCGCAAGCGCGATCAAGCTGGAGGCCACGGAGAGAGCATCCGCCATATTGATTCGTTCGGCCTGGAAGAGGGGATTGAAAACTGACAGGTAAGATGTCAAAGAGATAAATATGTCAGAGGTTCAACCATATGTCTTGGAAGGTGTGGTTCAATCTGGAAATAATCCGCTGGCTCCTAGATTTAGTCATCATCAGCGGGTCAAGCACGAGGCTCCCTGTGAATAAGCCGGGCGGCTACAGAAACGCTGCGATTGGGAGATACAAGGTTCCGTATCAAATGTAATGACCGTCCGTTTCACGTCACATTTGCGATCACAACGGAAACCGGAGGGACAGATATGTTGCGACCTCATCAAGCTTTTACTGCATCCCTATATCCTTCATGAGAAATAATGAACCCCTGCCAAAGTAGAGACTTGTTACATTTGGTTTGAGCTGATGATTATATATACGATCCGAATGCGATCGTAGCGAAAATACATATGGTAGTACTAAGCTTCGCTACCAGCAGTCCAAGAAGACCCCGCAATAAAATACGCAACTGTCAATACGAAAGTCGACCAGAGCCGCCCCTGGAAGACGACCTTTCTCATTCTCCCAGCTAGACCTCCGAAAGAGAAGGCTTAGTTTAGGTTTCGAAGTCAGGCAGCCCAATCAATGACAGATGTATGGTCGTTGGCGCCGCGGTTTGGCCAATCATTGCATGATTGACACGTACAGAAGAGGGACTCCTTACCCGTACTGTCCCAAGCAATCCGTGCGGAGACTCCTTGAATGTTGATCAACGCCTATTGTGGCGGTTATCTTCGGTAAATTACGAGCGATTAGGAGGGACCTCTAAACGCTCATCGTGTGCTAGAATTATCTAGTGAACTTGATGCGGAACCCGGTGTGAGCTTTCATCAAACATCGGGGTAGCCAGGGGGGAGTAACTCTTATTCTAATGTGAACGTAGGTTACTTGTGGTTTTTAGTGGCTTATTCGGACTTCCACCAGTCAGACTAATGGCAAACATTGAAAGGTCAGCATATGTTCTCTGTGATAAGAATGAAAATTCTTTTCTCGAGGGGTTAAAAATCTCCCACCTTGACATTCCAGAGCGATGACACATTGCTTTATCACGTGATCTCGTAGGGGGATCATAATCTATGGTTCGATCAAACCGTAACCGCAACCAGTAGCTTTCCCTTTAGGATGTCTATGAATATGACATGGCAGAACTAGCGGAAACGTTTTAGTGCACTTTCGAATGATTTGAGTAGCACTGGTAAGTTCCCGGGCCGCTTTCACCCTGGCACGCTGTTATTAGTATTGGAGCTTCAGCCTGTTGAACACATGCAACTTAATCATCCTTCATCACCAAAAGTAAGGGGTGCGATGAGAAGTCTGAGAATTTTCTATGCACATTTCCACGCATAATTTACCATGAAGATCAACCTCAGTACATGTCGGGGAATGGGGTTGGCGCCATTGCCCCATATTCACTCTTGCATAGCGTTCTAACAGTATATTCTGTCTTTCGCCCTTCCCAATTATCGAGCCATCTTACTTAAGTAGAAGGCACCTGGCTACTAACATAACAGTCCATGTCATTTAAGGCTAGCTATAGTTATCAAATGAGATATCTCAACATACTCCACAATGCTTGAAATTGGAGGTTGGGACGTGTGCCCTTTGTTGCAGATTGTACTTGTTTTCGCTGGTACATAATCATGTGAAGCAACTGCCTGCTCAGTGCTCAGAGCGGCTTAGCTAAATTTCAATCGGGCTCAATCTTTCAGCATATTGGCCGAGAATACTGTTACTTGGGACTCGAAGGTCATAACGTAATTCACCATCGCGCGGCCCATCTTGTAATGCTGTGTTGAAAGCTACCTTTTTATTACTATAATATATCTCAACAACAACAAGACTTCAGCTCTGTGTCTGGAAATCAAAACCTTTTAGAGAAAATTTGTTATCTAAAGATACTTTCTTTTTTGTCAAAATTAACTGATTAGTACAATTTTCCAATTAAAATACAGGTAATTTATATTACCGGCTTATTCGAGTAGGTAGAAGGTTTTTTTAAAAAAAAGTATACGTGGTGACACCACTCTTACAGAACGAATCGTACCTTTGAATTTTCAAGAGTGAGCGAACACCATCCACGCGGCGAAGCAGACGTACCTTCCACACTAAATACAACGTATATGATCTATTCATATTAAAACCCACCATGTCCATTCAGGCGGTAGTCTCGAGCTTGTTTAGGCGACCGGAACGACCGTCCACAATCGGTGCACCAGCTATGTCTAGCGGCATTGCTGCCGAAGGCTAGTTCTGCTGTCGAAATTCCTCGTGCTGAGCCCGCACTAGAAATGATTGGGTGTTTGACGCACAAATGAAAGAGGAACAGAGCGAGAGACACTCTGACTAACGACCCGAATATCTATAATTAGGCAGGTGACATTCTGGGCAAAAGCGCCCTACCATGGTGTCTTCTCCATTTCGACAAGTCTTTCTGTCAAAGCAGTAGATACCTCGTACTCAAACTCTGAATGATCCTTTCGGACTTCATCGGATTGACGAGATCCCTTGAGCGTACCGAGATGTGGAAGGGCGAATCTTATAAGGATTTCTTGTAGGTCTGATCTTGGCGGACACTGGGACCCATAGACATCGCTGGTAATTGCGAGAGATCCGCAGTCGTCCCAGTCCTTTCTCATGTTGGAGTCCAACTTCTTTTTGGATGTATCTTTAATCCTCTAATCAAGTATTTGTCTGCCACAATGTGGATTTGCACGTTGATGTGCGCACGCCTCCACTGCCATGATAGAACGTCTTAGGCGATACGCTCCGTTGGTGATATTCCCTCTTGGATCACAGAATCATCCTCCGCAGCAGTATCACTTTTCCCAGCGTGATCATCCGTAATCTCTGGTGAGTCATCATAGCTGCACGGTAAAGGAGATCAAACTATCTTGAAACAATGAAGGGTCATCGGGAATGTATACGGCGCGCGATTTAGCTTCTTATGTGGAAGTTAACGGTCAATCTCCGGGTGTCACCGCTGATACAGTATTTTTAAAAGTACCATTTGCAGCCTTGTCGAAAGATGGCGACTGTGGGCACACAATGCAACGATGAATGTGGAAGCTTGATGATGGGTATCTGACTAAGAGAATACTTGTACCCCCGGATATTGCTTCCATCTGGACGACCGTCGAGATCCTTGCGCGGTTATATGTACCTTGGTAGTAGTAGTGCTGTCACCTAATGCACGATGGGTTTGAGATTAAACAGATATACGCAATGGCATGGCGGAACTCGACAGAATTGGATTTTATCTTCACAGCGGCATAGCATGACATTTCCCAAGCGAACGACGGCTGACCCAGCTCGGGGTATTATATCAATATCCAGCAATCGTTTATAGGATTACCGCCACAAGGTCTCCGAGCCGGCAGCATTTCACTACAAGCCACCTCAAATTACGGGGGAAAAATTTTAAAACCTAAAGAGAGAGAAAGAGAAGGAGAGAGTAAGAAACGAAAACAACAAAAGAAACTCCACCGAAAGGCAAAGCCAGTCAAGGTTCCGCTTCTATAAGATACTCTGTCACGAAATATACCCACAATAATTGAAACAGGCATGGGATAATTCCTTCAAGCTAACACATAGGTGTTAAGGATCCCTCAGCACCCCGTCAAATCCCACCTATTTCTTCCCACTAGGAGGGGTATAAGTCGAGGCACCACTGCCGTTATTGTAATAAGTGCTCCCATCGGCGTTGGAATAATAGTAGGATCCGTTACTGGAGGAAGAAATCTATTAGAATTGATTTGGCAAACTCCAGGTCGGAGTAGAAGAATAGTAATGAGGAGGTGGAATGTAACGGGATGACATTACTGACCTGTTTGAATAGTGGTAGGAGTTTGGATTAGAGCTGCCAGAGTAGTCGCGGGAGCACCAGTGGTTTCCCTTTGAACATCAGGCCTTTAGCTAAGGTTTTGGATCTACAATATGGGGTGGTACTTACCTGACTGTTAGTGCCGGAGCCCTTGTAGCTGAAGTCTTTCCCAGACCTGGAGGCAGCAACGTACCCTTGGTCCCGGTTGGTTCCATTGATCATGCAGGTGGACTTTTGACACTTTCAACGTATTTATGCACTCGAATGGATTCATAATACTATGATCGTCTTATTACATATTAGTTATCGACATATGTTTCTCTTGATACGGATGTAAGGAGAGGTTGCTCTATGGACCCACGCTATCGAAGGGACAAATCGCAACAGAATTTTGCTAGATTTCCTGTCCTGAAGATGAGAAGCAGTGGTGAAAGATATACGTTACAAGGTTTGGACCAATCCAAGAAAGCGAACAGCAATGCCCAAATTAATAAGAATTCTCGTGACATGCACTGTCTCTAGGACTTCAGTAACCGGTATATCAAAACTGCTGCAATAATATGAACAGGATCAGTAGTTGATCTTGACATAGTGTTGATTTTAAAGAGCTGTGCCAACGTAACTTGTTCAAAATTCATAGAACAGAAATATGAAACACGTAGCGCTCAGTCAACAAGATAGTCTTTACTTGAGGAAAGGAGCTCTTGCCAACGCATCTGCCTGGATACCCCAAATATGCTTTCCTAGAACGGCTAATCTAGAGCCAAAGTTCTTCAAAACGACATCAATGTCCGGAACATTGTGTTGAAGCGCTTGACTATACATATCGTCCGTCCCGAACGTTGCAATTTCCCACATCCTCTTCCACCCTTGGATTGCCACGGCTGCATCCGGACAATCATTCCGGATATTGGTTGCAAGCATGTAGAACGAAGATCGCTTGGCATGAAACCTGGGATGCTTGTACAGTTGCACTGAGGCAAAAGTTGTAAATATATATAGTAATTGTACAGTATGTGGAGACTCGACTTTGTGTAGAAGAACGATCATCGTTCCCCCCAGCTTGACATGCTCCAACCCAAGCGACAGCTGTGTCAGGGTCAGCCTGCTGGCTTCTCGATGTTCACGGTAGGTGGCCCTGTCGTGGTTTCTTAGCACCTGACCATCACATATGACTAGGTCAAATGCCTGTCCAGGCTCAAATTGACGGGGTAAGAATTTCCCTGTATCTGGGTGATCGTTCGGGATTTCCAACAGGCCCATATCCGCAGCCAACAGGGTGATGTCAATGAACTTCACCAAAATATTAGGATGCTTAGGTAGAAGGACATTGTGACCTCCTTCACACCTTGGTAAGCTGAATCCTATAGCTCGGGCTGTCGGATTAATTCGCAATGCTGTTCCAAGAAAGCCTCCCGGTGCCATGCACATATCAAGGATACGTTGTTTGTCCTGATAAGGGCTATGGATCCGGAAAACATCCGTAAGCTGTTGCATGTCATCTCCTATTTCTTTCATCATTCTGAAGAAATGCTTGGCTGTTTTCTTATCAGCATTGTCTGCTGTTTGACGCTGCTGTTCGAAGAACCGATCACCCGCCGGATTTTCCCAACCCTATTTTACTAGTCAACTCAAGGTCCTAGAAATGGCCGGCTTAACCTGACCTTATGCCGAAGCTCGGATAGTCGCTGAAACTCCGGCACCTCATTTAGCAGGTATTATGCTATGATCTTAGCGGGACTTTGGCTCTCGCTAGCTTGGGAGGTAGTTGCCTCGTGATGGGGAACGGTACTCTGAGATGCGCCATGTGCGGCAGAGACGTGCTCATACGCCTGGCACCGTTTATTCTCTGTTGTTGGAGACATTCGTGCAAGGAGGCGGTATGTACTATAGAAGAAGGAACAAATCTGTACGTAATGGTAATGGGGTATTGACTATATTTAAATGTACGCCGGGCTGATATTGCTGAATATCAACAGCCGATAACCGATCACGACGAAGATCGTTCTCTCGGACGATGTATTGACGTGGCGTTGACACGCATTTTGGTGTTTATTCAGTTCCAATCAGGCCTCGAGGCAGCCCACCACAGCGGACGCAGCTAATGCAATAGGCTAGATCGTGAGGCCACTATAACCCACGGTATGGATTGCAGGTATGGAGCATATGACTAATGAGAAGGACACAGGGCGGAAAGAAGGGCGTGATAGCCGATAGCGCAGGCCGAGGTGGTATCCAGATGTTCTGCCGGCGGGAACCAGCAGACACACACTATTGTCAGGCAGCCATACGTGATAATGACTCCGAAGAGTTTGTGGAATAGTATATAGTACATAGACTAGTGCAGTACGAGAGTGAATGTACAAGGCAACGTATTGGAATAGAATCTCCAGTAACTAACCTGGCAAAGAAAGATTATCCATGTAACCATACAAGCCGTATTGATGGGGCTTAGTACTAAAAACAGCAGAGACTAAGAGACGATCCCAAACTGCGTTGTCGGCCAGCCTTATGACGAAATGATCAGAAAAAGGGCAAGAAGTGACAGACGGCTTCCTTCACTCCTCAATATTTACAAAGCCTCATTTTCTTCTCCTGGTGTTCTCAGAAGTTCATTCTTCCGTCTTGGACTGTGCCGCTCGAGCCAGACCCAGCTACCACGCACTAACGATCGAGTCAAATGGACAACATAATCCAAAGGTTATTCTTTAAAAAAGAAGTCAAACTCGTCAATACCAGAGAACAGCGAGTGTCTGCTAGCATGTTAGAAAATTAACGTGGAAGTCGGCAGGTATAGCTGATTGCAAACCCGTCTAGATGCAGTAACGCAGACTGGTAGCAGTGGCGTAGTCAACTGAACAGGTGAGATTATAATTTCTGAGTTTTTATGGTTCTTGGAAAATACTGATCTCATTCAAAATAATACTTGTGCCTACATTTGAGCGTGGAAGAACGCATGACAACTTCGAAAAATTTGTGGGGTTGGTATTGGTTTTTCGAGATGGGTTTCGATATTGTTCAGTGTCTGTGTCTAACTCAAAATTTCTCTCTGTCCATGCTTGGGGCGAACTTTTAGAACTATTGTTTGAGTTCAAGTGGGCTTGGGTAATTGGGGTACCGTCATAAGTATAGTCACCCGTACACAAGAATTCAAGTGTCTTTTCAAAGAGCATATGATTGCAATCCTCAATGATGATCTCACCGCTGCTTTTCTATAAGTATTTGGATCAATTCCATAACTGCACCTGAAAAGAACTGGAGTATCTTACCTTAAAGTGACTACTACAAGCAATTAAAAAATACTCTGATTGGGGAAAGTGCATATTCCGATGGGCTGGAAAGGTTTGGTCACCACACTTGATGCATTAATCGCTGTACTCCGGATTGAGAAATCGACTGATTAGATGACAGTAGTTATACGAGATAAGATTACTAACCGTAGTATCTAACCTAAGGACCAGTTCTTCCATCTTTCTGTTAATTCGTTCGTTTGCAGAAACCGGCTCGGTAGGTACAACAGTTATGACAATGGCTGTAGATACTGCCGACTGTCTTTTCTTTTTTCCTCCTTTCCTCATCGAAAGCTCATAAATCTCTTCAGACAGGAGACGCTGTGCCCTATATCAAATAAAAGAAAGGGTTATCAGTGCCGCTATTTACGAACAAGCCAATGCGACCTGCTGTGAGGGAGTCAGGGATTGATTTGGTCATCAGCTTCTTGTTGGTACTATGCTTTGCCCGGTGGGATGGCATCTGTAGCCTCGCATGACGTGGCCATGCAACAGCCATCGCCCATCAAAATGCGCCAATAGTAATGGCATAGTAAGGTCAGAAAAGCCATGGAATAGTACCCGGTTGCTTTACAAATCAGACCCCGAATCCGCTCAGGATCCATGGTATGGCTGCTCTATTGGGGCATGAAGCCTGTTGTAGCAATCGGAACAAGAAGAGAGTGGAATTCTCAATGTTCTCTAGTTTATAATAAGTTGGTTGCCAGCTGGGTTTCCTTGCGAGAAAAGGCTATTTATTTCGTGGCTATTGCGAGTAATCCCAAGCTGACCGGCTGCGTGTGTCACCACACCAATCGCTCATTTTTCTTTCTTAACTGGTCGCTCCATGCCGGCTACACGTAACCTTATTTGCAGGGATGGTACAGTACTTGTGAGAACTATACTTTGCGTTTCTTGGCCACCTGCACGCAATCATAGTATTCGAATTTGATCGACACTTTGATGTTTAGTAGTCACCAAGGTGGAGAATTCACTGGTCAATTTAAGGGCCTGAGGTGTAGTATGTCAGTCCTATGAGAAATTATACCTCAGAACTATGCTGCTTCTTGAGGGGACATTCCCCAGCTATCCGGATACACTGAGAATGTATGTCTATGTTTGATCCCTCGCACCAGCAGCCGACAGTTTGCAGTACCACAACGAAACCGGCTCATTTCAAGCAGTCCGAGGCAGCCATGGCAGTTGTGCAAGGTAGAGGTTAATGGTCTGTGCAGTGATTGCTGGCCCTCCAAGGGTGAAGGGATCCCAGCAGCGGTCGCCTTTCTCATCTCCATTTGACAAGCAAGTTCTGTTAGTGCACAAAAGGACTGGTGCGGCCGGGAGGCTTGCGGTCAGACGAAGCGATGACTCCGGTGGACCAGTCACCTCTACCCCTCAGGCCCCACTTGCCTGCAGTCTTCTTTTGTCCGCAGTCCTCTCATGAATATGGCTAGATACCATAACAATTGGAGGGTAGATGAGATAGACTATGCAATAAGCGAGATTAACACCATTATAGAAGAAGATGCAGTCAAAAGTGTTGCCTAAACAAGGGACTTCTAGGCTACGATTTCATTTAGTAAGTCAAATCGAGCTGTTCTACTGGCTGCGAGGTCCGGAACGGGCTCCGAGAAGTTCAATCCCACTACATCGGCGACCGGGCTTTTTCCGTGCGGGGCAAGCGTTCTGTGATACTGTGGTTGCGGAGTTATTAGGCTAGACATTGGCCCTCCTCTAATGGGAAGGGGTTCTACTTGGTGATTGTCGCAATCATGCCAATGATTAACAGAGCAAAGACTTTAATGCGCTGCATAGCCTTGGATAATGGAGCCCGACATATCCGGGCGCTCCGATTAGACGTGCTGGGCCAGTGATCCACAGAAACTAATTTCATTTGAACTGCTGGAGTACTCGGCCAAGTTGGCAGGGTCAAAGCGCCGCCAGGATAAGCGACACGTTGCACAACCCCTTCGTTTATTTGCTGAGCTGTAAGTCCCATGAGTCAAACATGTGTTAATCTTTCCAACCCGACTGCCTCACTCTAATTTTGGTCAGATATGAGTGGTTTCTAGCAGATCAAAAGCAGAATACTTTCGAGAATCTTATAACCTGCAACCCTGTAAGCAAGAGTGCGCAGATGCGCAGTGACAGTACCACAGATGTGGTAACCATACAGACCATGCCACAACAACACTACCTATGGCTTTCTATCAAATGGGCAATTCAGTCGCCAAACTACTTTCCACTTGAGAGCTAGTAGCATCGAAGAGCTGAACACCAACTATGACAGAGAATGGACAGGGTCCGCGGCTCACTATAAGAACCAAGGTCGCAAGAACTGCTTAG